GAGTAAACCTCTTTTGTGAACCACACGTGTCACGGGAGTTTCTCTGTCGAACGGGGCAAACCTTACAGATATGGGATGCAAACAACATTGGTCACGCACTTTGATTATCTTTGGCAGGAGCGGGATGGGATAGTGCATCTATCCTTGCTCTACTTGACTTCTTGGTGGCCTTCGATACCATCCACCATGGTATCCTTCTGGACTGGCTTTGGGGGTTGGGAGTGGGGGGCACTATGTTGTCCTGGTTCACTTTCTTCCTCTGAGGCCATTCCCAGTCAATGTTAATAGGGAGCAAGAGGTCTGGACCTCAGCCCTGCTTTGCGGGGTTCTGCAGGGTTCGGTACTTTCTCTTCTGTTTAACATCTACATGAAGCCGCTGGGTGAGATCATCCATTGCCATGGGGTGAGATGTCATCAGTATGCTGATGATACTCAGCTGTATATCTCAGCTCATGGTGAGTTAAGCAGTGCCATGACCTCCCTTTCTCAGTGCCTGGAGGCTGTTAAGGTCTGGATGGGGAGCAATGGGTTGAAACTGAACCTTCAAGACAGAAAGGCTCTGGGTTTGGGGCTCTTTGGTGGTTCATGGGGAATTGCCAACTTTGGTCTTGGATGGGGTTGCACTGCCCCAGAAGGACCTAGGGCATAATCTGGGGTTTTTCCTGGACTCACTCAAGGAGCAGGTGGCAGTCATAGCCAGAAGGGCCTTTGCGCAACTGTGGGTTGTGCGCCAGTTACACCCTTTCCTGGACCAACAGGCCTTGCTCATAGTCACCCACACCCTAGTCACCTCCCATCTTGACTACTGTAATGTTGTGTACATGGGGCTGCCCCTGAAAAGTATCTGGAAGCTTCTGTTGGTCCAAAATGAGGCAGCCCGCATAGTTTTGTGCAAGTCTAGATTTGCACGTGTCACCTCTCTTGCAGGAGCTGCATTGGTTGCTGAATTGCTTCTGGGTCCAATTCAAGGTGCTGGCTATCACCTTTAAAGCCCTACATGGCTTGGGGCCATGTTTTTTGAAGGACCACCTTTTCCCAGGTACATCTACCTGACCTACCAGTTCGGCGAGGCAGGTACAGTAAAGTTCAGCCATTGAGGCAGGGCATTTTTATGACTTTTTTTTTTTGCTAATTAAGGAAAGGAGGTAAGTATGTTCAAGCAGCTGCTTGGATGAGTCCTAACTTCCCCTGACAGGTGCTGCCTCTGGAATAATCCTGGGCTACCTCCATCTTCAGCCAAGCTTGATGCTTAGCTGCAAGGAGCTGCATTTGGTCCAGAGTGGAAGGGCTCAGGTTTCTGCTTCAGTGAACCAGGGGTGCAAAGTGGCCTTAGAACTCCTGCCTTATTAACCCCCCAAGAAGCAAAGAGGCATTCCGCCCCACCTCAGCTCTTCAGATACTACTGTATTAACCTCTTCTTGGCTTTAGGTGCATAAGCCCTATCTGAGTAAATACTGAATTGGATTGATCGAAAGACCAGAGAGAATGGAGCAGAAAAACATAGGTAGATGCTGCCTCTCACTAGCAGCAACTTTTCACATACTGGTATTACCAGCTTTACCAATGAAATCCAATGCGAAACTCTCCCAGATTGGCTTAACAGCTGGAATAGGCTAGACTCTCCCTCCCATCTCCCATCACTACCTTCTTTTAACCTCCTCCTTGTACACTAGGTATTACTTTCATGGGATCAGTAGATGATCTGTACTGATAAGGAAGTGTGAACACATATTATGCATCTATGTATGCTTATGCATATATATATGCATATGCATAATTACACATCCATTTGTAAATGAATACTAACTTTATGATAAGGGCTGCTCACTGTGTTTTACATGTAGTCAAGGGCTAACCTCACATTGTTATGTAGTCGCCGCCCAGAGTCACCCTCTGGGGGAGATTGGCGGCATACAAATTTAATAAATAACATAAAAATAAATAATAGTCACATTATCTTATTCATATGCCTTTGTAAATATAGGTGCTGGATATGTCATGAGGAGCTGACCTTAATCATCTATAAATCTAACAAAAATGTACTATAGGTGTATGTTTAAATAAAATCTCTGACCTTCCAAACATAATGTAGAAATCAAATCTTGACAGCTCTTTGAAATTTTTCATGGAGATTTAACACAACATGCAAAAACTAAGATTCTAGAAGAGAACAGTCTTTCTGTGCATATTATTATAATGCTGCTTTTTAAAGCTGCACCAACTATTGAGATTTTCTGTTATTCAGGGATTCTGAATGACAGCACAGAACATCTAAAAGGATCACAACAGACAGCTTAACATAGAACTGTTCCTTGCATGTACACTTCAGATATGGGAACTGCACAAATTCTACAACTGTATCTCCATTTCTTTCAACCTTCAATTTTCAGAAGGGTTAGGTACTTCTTGCACAGCTCTGATTTCTGACAAGTCTCTAATTCCTATTTGCCAAAAGAAATCTTGAGGAACAACTGTCTTTCCCTGACTCAAATACAGCTAGAACAATGTGTACGAACACAGCTGAAATGCATCTTATCACAGCAAAGTCTCAAAAGGCATTGCTACATCTGGGAAATAAAGCAACTACATACTCCAGAAGCAGAGCAGGCAACTGAACCTAATGAAAATTATCAAAATTCTGTTGGTTACCAACATAAAGAAACAAAAAAAGCATTATATTTGATAGCCATTTCATTATTAGACTAACCTAATAATAGATAAAGTTAAAAGATCTGATCAACAGAAAGAATGAAAAGATGTTTAAAAAGACAACTACAGCTCTATTCAACTCTGTAACCACAATGAATTTGGGACAGGCAGTGATTCTCAGTGTTAAGAGCCATGCTTAAGGAAATGTACTTGGGTTTAGAAAGGACGTGCCTTAATGAAGAAGAGTTTGTTTTATTTATAGGAAAAATTTCAAATATAAGAAAAGACACAATATGGGTCATCAGACAGCAGGAGACATCTGATCCCTGCCATATATGTGAGGCATGAGAGGAAGAATTAGAAAGGTATAAGGTATGTTTATTTATCACACGTTATCAGTTGTGCCATAACATAAAATGACACAAAGTCAGAAACTTCTGAGAAATCCAAAGGACTCAATCCCATACCTCCATTAAGAGTCACATTGTTAAGAATTATCATGTAGAAAATTGGCAACCATCCTCCCAAGTTAAAAACATAAGAAATGAAGATAACACAGTAGATCCATGACATTTCATCTTTTACTTGGGATCCCCTTTCCAATATAGCGGAAGTTTAGTCACTTTCAAATTTGATGGAATTTATCTGTGTAGAGATAGTGCCACCACAATAACTTCCCCTTTTCTTCTTTGTCTTCTCATGTCGGAAGGATTTGCCTTTTGTAAATTTCAGAACATCATTTGCTTTTTCACCCCAGTCACCTGCAGCTCCTTTCTGGGAAAGAGGAGACAATTGGTGATCATTAGCATTAGCATAAACATTAAGCGTAAACATTTTTTATCACTTTGCATTTGTAAGATGCCTAGAGTCTATGGGAGTGGGTAGCTATAATAAATTTAAATAAATAAATAGCAAACACTGCAATTTTGTTACAGGTTGTCCAGGCAGTCTATCAATTCAATTTTGGAGAGATTACTGTATGAAGAATGCCCATCCTACCTTGGCATCAAAGGAATTGTTTGCTACTCGCACATCTATTTCTACTTCCTCTGCTCTTATTCTGCGAAAAGGACTGGATTGCTGAAAGAAAAAGGATACTTGAGGATACTTTGGATTTACCTGCCTAAGATACATCTGATTTCTGCCCACATCCTTCAAAATAACAACTTAGGAATTTTTCTAGTCCAGAAGTTGCTTCTAGAGGTCCCAAACATCAGAACCAGAGATCTAAGGTCACCTCTGACCACTTCATAATATGTCACCTACTTTCAAAAAACCTTGTGAAACACAATTTGAATTCAGGTTTTGCAGTTATGAAGGAAAGTCATAAGATCCTTTTTCTCATTTCTTACCCGCTTTGTTTTTGGGAATGTATGAGGACTTCTGGGTTTCATCTTCTTGATGTCTGGTGTCTCCAGCTCTTGATCATCTTTCCTTTTTCGCTTTTTCTTGGATAAACCTGTTACATTTCACAGGAATATTAAGCTTCCACACAATCATCTCATTCTAAGTAAGCAGCAGTTTAATCAATGCACAACTCAAATGGGGCAGGAAAGGGAGTGTTTGTTATGTTTCATTGGTGATATAAATCAGTGTATGATATGGCTATTCAAAATATCTGTAATCAGCAGGAACTGATTCGCCCAATGTCTGGGTTCATACAACATGTTAAGCAAAATAATCTACTGTGGTTCATAACTTGATGCTGTGCAAAGCAAAGCATGATTAAGCTACAGTTAAAATGATGTTGTGGCATGCTGTGAGCCACTAAAAAAAGTCTTCCTTGACAGACAGGGCTGATGTTCATCTATCATATTAAGTTATGGTTTGTATTTAAAGTAATCTAAAGATAACCTTGCAGATAAATAAAGTATGATAAGTTCAGCCAATTCCTGATTTATATTTTCTCCTTTATTTACAGGTATTTGGTTTAGAGTTATTTCCAAACTACAGTGGAACCTCAGTTTACAAACTTAATTCATTCCATGACTCTGGTTGCAACCCGAATTGGACGCAACCCGAAGGAAATTTCCCCATAAGGTTCAATGTAATTACCGATAATCCGTTCTGGCGTGGAGGACAGGGAGGCGGCTATTGCTTGGAGGGAGAGTCCCCCTCCCCACGACCCCGTGTCGGGGGGGGAAATGGGCGGGGGCACCGGG